GATACTGTTTCAAACACGTCGTTCTGAAGGTCTCGGACATGTCGGCCAGCAGCAGGACGTCCGTTTTCAAGTAGAGGTCGTGGTAATGGCCTAAATGCCAACAGCCAAGTTTCTCCCAGACATTATTTGCGTGGTTCCGTCATATAGGGGACTCGGTCAAATGGCTGTAAAAGCGGTCGATGGGGGGGTAGTTGGGTCTCATCGAACTTGGGCCAATCGTCCATGTACTGGTACGGGTACACGCCCTTCCATAACAGATGGCCTGCATGATCAAGTGAGCATCGTACCCTCTCAAATTATGGAACACCACGGGGATGGGGATTTTTGGGAGATTGATTCTGAGCTGGAGGTTGCACGCGTTGCAGGCGGCACCTCTGTATCGACCGGGGATGTGGCAATGACTTCCCCGTTCAGGGGTTGGTCGCACACGTGGCAATGCTGAGCCTTTTCATGTGCAAGTTTATCCTCCGGCATCATATCCATGGGGGCAGGGTCCGACTAACCTTCCCTAATGTTTGTTTCTTCGCGTTGTTAGAACGTCAGAAACGTTTCGGCTCGACAGGACCTCGGTAGATCAGGTCTCCGTCTCACCATCGCATCGAATGGCCAGGTACCTGAACCCGCAGGCTCAGTGTTTTTGCGTTTTGTACGTGAAACTGCGATTTGTGTCGGATGGCGATGTGTCGTGGTTGACTCGTTTGATGAGCGCTTTGAAGCTGGCGTTTGCTATTTGCGATTGATGAAAGATGTTTTGATGTTCTCGAGGCATGTCGATTCGGACGGCCTTTCTGCCACACCTCAGCAATCCGTCCGGTGCACTTCCAGCAGGTTGGCTCGCGTGAAGCCATGCAGACATCGTTCACTGAAGTGATTCTTTTCTCTATGCCTCGATTGATCTTACAACAGTCTGCTCAGACTTTCAATATGTGTATAGTGATACTCACACTCCTTTTCGGTCATAAATAAATTGATTCTGTGCACATCATCGGGCATGGAGCTGATTCGGTGTATGATGGTTGTATTGCCTTCATGACAGAAGACGTTGATGGCTAAATGGTTTAGTTTTTCAAATCGGTCCAGTCGGCATGAATCTCAACTCGACCGGCTCAGTGTCTTCCAGCAAGGTAGCCAGTTGGGCTTTCCTCATGCGAGAATAACCCTTCACCCCCCGTTCTTTAGCTCGGAGTTTGAGTTCTCGCATGGTAGGGGGCTTGACATACTTCATGTCAAGCAAGCTGAGACGTTGGGGTTCCTTCATGCGAGAATAACCTACCAATCAACGTTTTTTTGCCATCGCCTTGAGTTCACCGACGGTCGGCATGATTGCTATATTAACGTGCACAATCTTTTTTTTAAAATAAATAATTACTGCAGTTGTCAATGTGACCCCCGCTGCCATGCAACAGATCGTCGTCCGTGGATCACATGTCTAGCCACAGCATGTACTTGGTAGTCAGGTACTCTCCTACCGACAGAGGTCCTTGACGATTGCTTTGATTTCCGGAGGGCGCTTGATCGCCGGTAACTTTTGGATCTCATCCCACTGATGGTTAGCTTGGCTGAACAGCTGGTTGGGCACACCCTCAACAGTCACCTCGACTTTTGTGATCTTGGGGTTCAAATACTTTTTGTTGACCCTTCGAAATGGCGAAAATTCTTCCAACGGCAGGATCAAAATGCTTTTCATGGATCGCATGGGTACGTTCAGGTTGATGTTCCACAGCGTGTCACTCTTGTTCGCGACGATCTTCCGGTGATGCAGCACTCGATCATACAGGATGGCTAACGTGCCATTTTCGATGGTGTTGTGACCCTCCTTGCTGCTCTCCGTTACGATCACGTGAGTGTAAACATTAAACGCGTGTTCGTACTCCATCCTGCGTGGCTTGGTAAAACGGCATGTGACCCTCCAGCAACTTGAAGTCAAGCGGGTTGCAAAATGAGGAATGAGGAGGTCATTCTTGCCGAGATTGGGAAAGTGCACCAACAGGGTTTGTCGATCATGCTCAGATTGTTGGTGAAAGTCACGGTTTGATGCACGTCTTTGACCTCCAAGGGTTCTCTCAATTCGATAAGGATCGAGCCATTTTCCATATTAAAAATATATAATATATGTTCAATAAATAAATAATCATGGCCGACAATATTCCTATGGACGATTTGGGGGATGATAGAACCCCTTTGCTTGACGATGGGGAGGCCTCATTCGTGCAAGGAAACATGGGCGATGATCTGCTAAAAACCACTGTCGATGATAATTACGATGCCCTGGAGCAAAAAGAACATATAGCTACTCTTTATCGCGATCCTTCCAAGTTCGAACTTGATCATAAAGGGATACTGCGAGTGAAAGATGCTCCGGGCATCGATCTCATGCACTCCAGTACAAGAAATCCTCTCACTTTGTCCACACTGGACAGTCGCCACGGTGCTGACTTTATCCGTGACAAATTAAATATAACCAGCTATCGACAAAAAATAAGCGGGAAGTTCGACAAGGCTTTCCGAGAAGCGAATACCGAGCCCAATGCCTTGGCGGATGCAGTCAGTCAAGATGATTTGAGAAACGTATCACAACGCGTTCAAGACGCATCAGATGAAGTCGAGAATCTATTGTCCGCGTACCAGAATGAACGCTTGCCCGGGTTCGAGTTTACCTTTTGGGAACTGCGACGGCTGGACAAGGTCATGCAAACCATTCGCGGATCAATGTATCCAAACTGCACGTGATAAATGAGCATATCGCTCGTGACAAAACAAACTTGACGAAACGGAGGACAAGTTCAGCCGACGTCGGATCGACGAAAGATTGTGCAACTTGGAAGAGGAAAAATCAACTCGATTGGAAGTGGCGTCCTCCTTCTAATAATAAGTTGATAAATTTTAGTTTCACATTGATTTTTTATGTAGTATTGTGGGAGCAGGCAGTTTCTCAGATCACAGTAAAATGAACATTCAATAAAGAATTGGTACTTTGATTCAATGGTAAGTGCAATACACAGAGGGCAGAATCGCTCATGTTGTTTTATATTTACTTTTCGCCCATATTCCAACATTAAATGATGGCCTGAAGAACGAAACTTACTCAAAGCAAAATGAATCGTTGCGTTGCCGTCAATCGTTGCGTTGCCCTCCTAGGGGGTCGAGTGATGGTGTCACCGTGCACTACTTTCCACCGGACCCCGTAGTTCGTGCTCAATGGGTTATGTTTGTGAGTGCGAAGCGAGCATTGTGGAAGCTTGGAACGATATCTTACTTGTGTCCAGATTGCTTCGCAGAAGTTAAAGACTCAAAACTACTTACTATTTGTAGTACAATATATATATGACTGATGACCAAAAAGATTTTCCATGACACAACTTGAAGCATAACAATTTCTTTCTCGGAAGCGGGCTTGTGGTGGAAGTGACAATAATATTGTAAGTAGTGTTATATTGACACCCACCTCGCTTCCACGAGAGAAATTCTTATGTTATAAGATATGTCACGCAAAATCCTATTGGACATCAATCAAATACATATTTTACTACCAGTAGAAAGTAGTTACGATTTTCTAACTTGATGAAAACAAACCATAATCTCATTAATTTTTTAACAGACTTTAGCCCGTGATGTTACGATTATTAAAAATGGCAGGGCCCTGTCGCGAACATCCGCCAGTCTGAGAATAAATGCTATTTAGGCTTTTTTCACCGAGTTACAAAATCAAAACTACTTTCTACTGGTAGTAAAATATGTATTTGATTGATGTCCAATAGGATTTTGCGTGACATATCTTATAACATAAGAATTTCTCTCGTGGAAGCGAGGTGGGTGTCAATATAACACTACTTACAATATTATTGTCACTTCCAGTAGTTAAATATGTATTTGAATCATGGCCAACAGGATTTGGCATGACACAACTTGTAACATAACGATTTCTTCCTCGGAAGCGAAGTGGGGGTCGAAGTGACAATACTGCGCAATACATTTCTTGCTACATTCACGTGGTTAACGTCCACTCACCAGTATGTAGATACTAGTCAACGTGCGTCTTTATATTTGGTCTTATAATCCCAATTAGTTTATTGTCATACTTGTATGCATTTTGAAACTAAATAAGAATCAGGCGGTCTGCCTATACTTATAACTTGAATATCTAGACAATTTATAGTTTGCCAATGTAAATCATAATTCGCACACACGCCCTAGTGTATGTTGTCTGTCTCATTACTTCACGACGAAAACAATGATTCTGTGGAATGCTACGACAAATGAATAAAAACAAAATGAAATTATTAGAATTAAAACAGATTAGAGTTATAAGAACAATGTCAGGCTATTACTTTGGTCGAGGAATGTATCCATCAGTATCCCCAAAAACGAATGATATGCCATTCACCTGCAGCTGTTCCAAATGATGTGTCTTTTAACAGTCTAATACATGTTTACGAAAAGTGATATATCGTTTCAGGTATTTCACATTGGTATATAGTCTCATTGGTCACCCAAGATAACATACCTGGGAACTAATTGCATGTCCGCCATTCTTTACAAAAAAGTATTTTAGTTAGCCAATAATGACCAATCAATCAATGTCTTGGCGGTTAATCCTTTGAAAGAAGGAAGTTGTTTCACGCAGACACAGACACGGCAGAGTGTATTTAGTATAGATTAGTAAATCTACATACATAAACACTACCTTTTGACAAATCCGCTGTGTGAGATAAAAGTAATTAATCAATCAGCATGTAATCGGTTAATCCTTTGATCGATGTTTATAATGTTGAGTATTTACTCCAGACAAAAGAAATGCAAAATGGGAACCTTTGTCGGGTTATCTAAGTGGTGTTTCCACTAATTATACCTGTTTTATATTCATTAACTGACCATCAAGTGAATGATGACAAATAACATGTGTAGGATTTTACCACCTAACACGGGTTACAACAAGATAGTATTAATTGCTGTTTTGCATGTGAAAACCTATGGGCCGACACTATTTTGAGGATACGGACAGAACTTCATTGTTGCATAAGAAATACATATAAGCATATGTTGTGTGCTAAAACTGTATGTACCTATTTACCTAAGTAAATTTTCATAGTCTTCTAGCAATGGCAACGTGGGGTTGTTTAGTTTACGGATTCAAATAGATCAAATGTCAATTTTTAATACTATACGTCATATTTTTACATGACGTGAATAAATATCGAGGTAAAAAAACCCCACAGAAATGGGACCAATTATGATCAGTCATTATACCATTCAGGCATTAGAAAACCTGCAAAAGCCCACACTGCTCGGATACTTTAATACAATCAGACAAGAACTACTGGGGAAATTTTCAAATAACGGCATCTGATGGCATCCACCCTTCCTAATGTCGCACTGTTTAGGTTGAAGAAATTAACCATAACCGAGATGAGCGAGGCTGATGATAGTTTCCACTATCACTAGCGTCTGGCTCGAACAAATAAGGCCAAGCGACATCAGGCAGTTACGACAGAATCGTCTTTGAATACAAGTTGTAACTGGGAAGGGGAGCAGGACAAAAGCCACCCGGACAAATGCCACCCAGTTATTTTACCATTACAGACAGGACAGTCACTACCCATATTGATTTTAATGTTGATTTTGTTGTAAAATTATGTAGACTTTGATGAATAATTTGGTTTCTTTAAAAAATAGATTCACTTTGATAAAACAAGTTGATTTTCATGTAAAAGTTTGATTTCATAGTAATGTTGACTTTTTTTATATGTTATTGTGTTGGTGGCTTTTAGTTTTGTTTGGGTGGCATTTGTCCTAGGTGGCATTTGTCCGGGTGGCATTTGTCCTAGTCCCACTCGGAGGCTAGGCAAAGCAGGTGACAAAATTAAATGACAGCAGATTGTGAGAACATATAGCTTTTCATTTTTCACAACAATTGTCACGATTTCTGTTCCTGCTGAGCTGCAGGCTCGTTCGATATCTCGCGATGTCATTATCGCGATAATGCACCGAGGAGATCATCAAAGGAGTGGATTGCTCAAAGGTCACATGCAACCAAAAAATCAAACATAATTAAAACACAGTTATCACTTATTTATGACATATAATATACATTCTGATTATGAAAAAACATATAAACAAAATTAAAAGCGTACAATCGCAAATCACAAGTGCAATATTTTGTACTTGGGTTTATTTCCCTAGAAACGAAGCAACCGGGATACCGAACCCAGTCAGAGCGGTTGGATGTGCACTCAAGTGTAACGGCTGGTTCATTTGCCGATGCCCTCACGGCTCATTGTGTGTGTATATAGAGAGAGGTTTTGTAAATACGGTGTCGTACCGGGAAGGCTAAAATGTATTTTTCAGATGTCCTGGGAAGGCTAAAATGTATATTTCGGATTTCCCCGGGAGAGCTAATTAGGGGAGTATCGCCAAAACTAAAGATACGATACGAAGCATAATCCATGCCGGGAGTTGATACATTTCTTTTCAAAACATTGTTATAATAGATTATTTATCAGAACAGAATAGAACATAGACTTTATTAAGACTTGAACCAGTCTTCTATTCGATTAAGTTTTAAAGATAAACAATGGACACATATTATTTCTTCCCTAGGTACATTATGGTATCTTCCAACTTCAGTATGTAGCAGGCATCTTTATCTTCTTCGCTTGTTTAGACCTGTATTTAAGTGGCATTTTTATTTCAGATGTATTTAATTCGAAAAACATATAATATTTAAGTTGCAAACTGACACCGAACTATCATACACATATTCGTGATGACAGGTGCGCAGGTTAGAGTTAACTTAATCCTGAAATGCCTTGTGAACAACATCATCGGGGACATCGCCTACACAGACCACGTGTCTGACCTTCTCAAATTGTCTTAAGCTCGACGTAGATTGACAGAAATGTGATTTACTATGGATAATGACAATTTAATGTCGAATTCAAGAAAATATATACTGAAAATGAAAACGTATAGCTGTATTAATATTCTTGTATGTGCCCAAATTAAAGAGCATCCACGTTAATCCTGTTTTCTTTGTAATTTGTCAGAGCCTCCGAATGAGGCGCCCCGTGTTCATTTAACCATAACATTGCATTGCAAGTACCGCGAAGGCTACGCTCATTGAACCGGGAAGCGTCACGATTTTAGCCTTCCCGGCAATGAACCGTAAATACATGCTCATTTTCTTGTGTATAACAATTTGCAATCAACAGACATCATCACATGTCATGTGTACAAGTATCACACCTGCCTGTCTGTGTAATTACATAATGTGACAGAGACCGAATTCGGGCCATAAATCAACGCGTTTTGTTTATGGTGTATAGCCTGATAGGTGTTAACTTCAAATTGCATGTGGTCAGTGATCGAAGTTGTGTATTGAATATTGTCATTAGCAGACAGGCAGGCAGACACATAGGTGTCAATAAAACAGACACTGAGTTTTGTCTGTGACAACGACATATCTGTGTCACAGTTAGATATTCTGTCAACTCTAAATAACGACATTGCTTTTAAGTATCGAACTGAGAAAGTGACTCGGTAAGAAGAACGTGTGGTGAAATAGAAAAATGAAATTATATAAACAGTTAAATCGGTAATCTACAGGTATCACATATAAAGATCGCGCGCCTGTGAAATATCAACAAAACCTTTAAATAAAATAGCTCATACCAAAGCCTTCACCGGGTATTCACCGGACAACCCGCTGCGTGAACCTGTTTCACTGCGCATGTGCTATGAGCGCAGCCCAGCTGTTGAAACCACTTTTCCCCCAAGCGCTGGGGGAAAATTAGTGAATCGTTTGAACTCCGATTTCGCGCGGTTTTTTTCATCGCTTTATTTTTCAACTTTATAAGTTGAATTTGCATTTTTGATGATTTGTTTCGGTAAGTCCATACCGAAAGGTATCAGAATCTGCAAAGCTGTGTTTTACGTTGCATGTGACCTTTAACATAACGTTAGGAATACTTCTTACCTTTTTTTAAAAAGAATATTCGTTATTTTTGTTACAATCTATTTGATATTTGATTTTCCTTGACTTCGTTGTGTACTGGTCCGTGGTTGTGGTCTCCAGGAATTTTAGACATTATGTCGTTCAGTGTTGAGGCTGTTGCTCTGCAGTCTTTCTGACTGCATCTCCATGAGATCCATGCTCTCCTTTTCCTCTTGTTCAGAATGAACATATACCGGTAACCATTTACACATAGATATCTTCAACCACGAAAAGTAGGAAGAAACCTCTAGTCTAACTGTGCATTGACCATAACTGAATTTGCGGAAATAATGGTGAAAACTGTTATTTCCAAAATTCTGATAGCAAGTTTCTGCAAGAAAATGAATAACTCACAACTTATGAATTGAGTGAACTAATTTATAAATCAAAGTGACTGTGAATTCACTAACATGGATTCAATCTCCTACTGGTAGTCTGGTATACATGTCTTATTTCTTTCCTTGAGTGAACACGTTTTTTCATCTTGTGAATCCCTTAAAAAAACGCCGTTGTCAAAACATCAAACATCAAACAATTTTTACCTTGACCCAAATGTCTAACCTACCCTTTATCTCGATAATGATACAAGAATGAATATGGAAACCCTTCTCTATGCATCGATAGAAGAATACCTATCAAACCAGCATGGAGTTGCTATTGGCGTGACGTCGTGTTCTCATTGCAGGTTTTAACATTTTCAAACGTACATAATTGTCATCGCAGCGGCAAACCTATTTTACAGTTTAGTAGAAAACTTAACAGAAGCATCCAACCTGACCTTACAATGAGCGGTGTGATAATTTAAGACATAGATAATCACAAGCATCTAGACTTGACCCTTCAAAATAACTGTAACTGGGATATGAACATAAAGGTTATTGGCTGGCTTATTATGAAATTAATGTCTTGTCTAAACTGGAATCTTTCAAATGTATATTTGTCTCTGGAATCAACTGTGAGCTTGTGGGCTGATTTCTCTTGATCTATAATGAATGTTTTATTAAAACACTCTGTAACGTACTTCTTGTAAATGATCAAATTAATCTAGATACACTTATGATTCAGTAAAAAGGGAATTCATTTAAGTATTTGCTTCAATCCTCACATGTTTGGACAACACAACCAATTTTCTATTGACAAGTTCATGAGATTTTCGTGAATACGCCAATTGAATAACACCGTTTTTGAGCACAAACTCAAATGGCCTCTCCCTTATGACAGGTGTTAATTGGAGAATGTATTCTACTACGGTTAGTTCCCATGAAGCAGAATTGTAAAAACATAGGGTGATTACCTCCAAGACCTGGTGATCTCGATCTCTGATGTTTTAACAGGCACAAGGTTGATACGAAAAGTTGAAGGGGTAAAGGAATGAAATAAGCCTAAACTGATATTTGACATTTTCATGACATAATATATTTGGTGTTGCCACAATTAATCATCATAAGATGAAACATATCATGTGAAATATATCTCAACTATCATCTGGAGGGCCTTTTCAACGATCATACTAAATCTGCCATGCCAACACCCCAAGTAATAATAAGATACATAAGTTTCAAATCATGTATGGCCTATTTCAACGTATTACTGACCCTACGAAGGTCACGCAAAACTCTAGCACTTTGTTAGATATTAGTAGATTAGTAGATTATTCAAAATCTTTGGCGAGACGTAGAACGTATCATCCCCGTAGACGTTGAGTGAACACATGAATCAGTATCATTATAATCTCAGTGAGCTAAACTCAGTAAATTAACTCAGTAAATACGATCATATTTCAAAACAAGTTCAGAATTTTATAGCACCCAGTGTCTTAATTCCGTATAACAACACCGACGCAACATGAACGAGACTTTACTGTAATAACAAAATCCTACTTCATGGGAATACCCTATTACGCCATGGCACGGCTCCACTTATATGGAATGTAATACACTCAGTCAGTCAGTATATCTGGTACACTGTTATATAGTCCATATGGCGTATGTGTATGGAATTTGTATTCATACGATCATTGAGAGGGGAAACAAATTAAACATATATGCGCTTTTGTGGATAACAACTAAACCATGCACTTGAAACTGACTTTTGAAAATGCTCGCCATACTAGCGGTAAATAGAACATTCAATATCAATTTTTGACACATAGAACAAGAAGAATGCAGATGAGTGAAGTTAAACTAATATATAGAATTGGTTCCTAGTTGGTCGCATAGGACGGCGAATAAAAAACCAAAAACGATACTCTTTTTGACTAACTTTCAAGAAATGTTTTTGCAAGTTTATGATTCCCTATACAGATCTGTAACAGATGATGTAGTACAGTGTGTTCTCGAAATTACCAGACTATATCAATCAGCAGCAATATGTATGAGGAAAAGTTATCCTTGCCACCGAAAAGTTATATCTGGAGCGCAACAACCACCATGGTGGGATGAGGAATTGGAATACTACAAGCATCAAAAGTACTTGACACTAAATAGATGCCGTCAGTCCGGTATAGATTTTGACAGATACAGAAGCCTACGGAATAAATTTAAGTCCTTATTCTCAGTGAAAAGAGATATTTATCACACCCAACAGAGGTCATTACTTATGGAATCTAGAAATGATCCTAAAACATTCTGGAAGATTCTAAAAAGGCATAGAATTGAGAGAGATTTGCCAAAGGAAATCAATGCATATCAGTGGTTCAATCATTTTGAGAAATTGTTACATGTACGTTCTGCTGACAATACCGATGATATTATTTCTTATATAGATGAGACATCTCATCCTTGTTTTGAACAGGTTACCTGATGTTCTGATTTGGGTGATGACATTGGTGTTGATGTTCTGGAAGAACTGAACACTCCTTTTACTGAGGCTGAAATTGAGTTGAGTCTGTCAAATCTTAAGCAAGGTAAATCACCGGGGAGGATGGCATTCCAAGTGAACTTCTGAAAAGCACTAAACTATATATTGTTCCTTTGGTGACACAAGTCTTTAATACTTTGTTTGATGGTGGTGTATTTCCGGCTCAATGGGGTAAAAGCATTATCTGTCCATTACATAAGTCTGGAGATAGAAATAGTGTTGATAATTATAGAGGGATTTCACTAATAGACACTCTATGTAAAACCCTTGCTGCTGGTTTAGATAAGAGGTTGAGAACTTGGTGTGATAAGAGAAATATTATTTCGGAGTTACAAGCTGGTTTCAGACCAAATTACTCAACTGTTGACCAGATATTTTCCTTGCAAGCAATGATTCAAAAGCATCTCTCTAAGAAAAATGGTAGGTTCTATTGTATATTCATTGATTTTAGCAAGGCGTTTGATTGTATAAATCATAGAGTTCTGTTTCAGAGTTTATATGATATCGGTGTTAAAGGTAGATTTCTTAAATTCCTGATTTCCATGTATTCATCTCTTGCATCCTGTGTCAGAACACCCAGTGGAATAACAGAGTTTTTCAAGTGTAATATCGGAACTAGGCAAGGCTGCATTTTAAGTCCTATAATATTTAAATGTAATACGGTCACTGATCACGTGACTGCCTGTCTGCAGTATGGTCTCCAGACCCCATAACGTGAGTTTGTAGCATATAAATATATGCATAGAAGAACAAAACATTCCTGCTGACAATAATTCTTGTACATTGAAAGATTTATTAATGTCAAATACTTTCGATACTGTTATCGAACTGACCAGAACCGGAGTTACCTCCCTTATTTTGACCTAGTCTTAAGACACCTCTTGTACACAGCTCTCTTGTATACATACATTTCTCTATAGAATTTATACCAGATGTTATGAAGATAGTGACACAGCGGCCATTTCCTCAATACTTATTTACTAGAGGATGGATTTGACTTTTTTCAGCTTTTATGTTCTCAGATTTCTTTTATTATCTTGTTTTCTCAAAAAAAATGATAAACATTCATATCAGTAGTCATTTGAGTTATAATACCAGTACACACATTATGAAGCAATATGGATGATAAGATAAGAATAGCTTCAGCCAATTGTAGAGGCCTGGCAGAAAAGAGAAAACTTAAAGAAATATTGAACCTTTGGCGTAAAAGAAAGTTTTCAATTATATGTCTGCAAGATATTCATATTTCCAAGGAAGATGAAACTACTATGAGAAATGAATGGGGTCTTCAAAGCATTATAGCACCATATAAATCAAATGCAAGAGGGGTCGCTATTTTATTTAACAATAATTTGGAAGTAAGTATCCACAAATTCATGACTGACAACAGTGGAAACTATATAATAGCAGATGTAACTATATAAGGAATAAGAATCACATTGACTAATATATATGGTCCTAATCAAGATCAACCTGATTTTTTTAATGCATTATTTCATAAAATTGGTGAATTTGAAAATGAATCTCTCATAATATGCGGAGACTGGAACTTAGTTCTTAATCCTTCCATAGACTTAAAAAATTATTAAAATATCAATAATCCAAAAGCAAGAAAAGTAGTGCTAGATAATATAGAAAAGTATGATTTGACAGACATTTGGAGGGAGAGAAATAATGATGTAAAGAAATACACATGGTGGAAAAAAAAACCTAAACAACAGTCCAGACTTGATTTCTTTTTTAGTTTCTCAAGATTTAGCAAACATGACAACTGACTGTTCAATACTTCCAGGATATAAATCTGATCATTCAGCAATTACCATGTCTTCTTTTTCCAATCAACTTAATAAGGAACGTAATTGGAGGATACTGGAAACTAAATACATCATTACTTTATAACCAAGAATATGTAAACACAGTTAAGGATATGCTTTTTGAAACAAAATTAGAATACTGTAACTGCACTGAGGATGAACTAGGTGATATTGAAGATTCTAAACTACAACTTAATATAAGCGACACTTTGTTCTTAGAAACATTTTTAATGAAAGTGAGGGGGAACACAATATCATTCTCTTCCTACTTAAAAGAAAGCAAAACTGAAAAAAGCAAAAATTTAGAAGGAAAAAAATTGGCAATGGAAGAAGAAATCAGAGAGAATTTCCAAACCATATGTGAAACTAAACTTTCTTCTGAACTATCCAAATGTAAATTAGAGTTTGAAAAATTAAAAGAAGATGAAATAAGAGGTATACAGATAAGAAATAGAATTCAGTGGTACGAGGAAGGAGAAAACCAACCAACTATTTCTGTCATCCCGAAAATAGAAATTATACCCAGTAAGCTTATGAATAGTGTTATCAATGACAAAGGAAGTAATATCAGATGGTAAGGCTATATTAAATAAACAAAGGCAATTTTATGAAAATCTATACTCATCAGGTGGTAAAATAACAGATAAATATATTAATATATTTGATGATATTATTACACCCAAACTGCACACTGTACAGGCTGAAAATCTTGAGGGTGATATTACTATAGATGAAATAACACGAGCCGTTAAATCAATGAAAAATAACAAAAGCCAAGGAGTAGATGGTTTCCCAATAGAATTTTTTAATTTTTTCTGGAAAGATCTTCATATTTGGGTTTGTAGCATTCAGGCAAAATATGTTAAGTCCAACAATAAACAGAGGCGTCATCACATGTATCCCAAAAGCTAACAAAAGTAGACAGTTGTTAAAAAACTGGCGCCCAATTTCCCTACTGAATTCTTTGTATAAAATACTCAGCACATGTATAGCCAATAGAATTAAAACAACATTGAATACTCTTATTCATGAAACTCAGACAGGTTTTATACCTGGAAGGTGTATTAGCGAGAACATTAGATTATTATACGACACTATGTTTGAAGCAAAAGTACAAGATAAAAAGGGACTCTTGTTGTTGAATTTATAATTTTAACAATTGGAAAGTTTGGTTTTGGACCCAATATGGAAAAATGGATCAAAATATTAATCAATAATGCTACATCATGCGTTATACAGAATGGTCATTTATCACAATTTTTTGACAATGAAAGGGGCTGTAGACAAGGGGACCCAGTCTCTCCCTATATATTCATCTTAGTTGCTGAAATTTTAGGAATAATGATCCGTAACAACACTGCAATAAAAGGAATTACATTGAATAACACTGAACATAAAATTGGACAGTATGCAGATGATACTGAATTATTTCTCGATGGGCGTGAAGAAAGTTTAAGGGCAGCAACTGACACTCTCAATAATTTCTACAAAATGTCTGGTTTAAGAATAAATATAGATAAAACGAAAGCAGTGTGGATAGGCTCAATGGCAGGTAGTAGCATGATTTTATGCCAGGATCTTAAGCTTGATTGGCATAATGGGACTTTGATATTCTAGGAATAAGACTTAATCCTAATTTAAATAAACTTTGGGTAATTAATACAAGAAAAGACTAGAAATTATTAATAGAACTCTAGGGAATTGGAGGAAAAGAAAATTGACATTAATAGGGAAAATAACTGTTATTAAAACTTTAGCACTTTCATCATTGGTGCATATATTTACTTCACTCCCAAATCCTCCAAAGGAATTCATTGACAAATTAAACAATATATTTTATAAATTCATCTGGAATGATAAGCGGGATAAGATAAAGCGAACGACACCTATTAGAAAATATGAAGAGGGGGGCCTCAGAATGGTTAATGTACAGGTATTCATAAACTCTTTAAAACTGTCAGTTTTACATAAATATCTTCACAATAATAGCAGTTCTAGCCCTAGTATCTTTCCATTTAAAGATATATTTCTGCTTGGAGCCAATACTGAAAACTATGTCAGTATTATGAATCCCTATTGGAAAGATGTATTTGCAGCATGGGGAATATTCTATAAAACACATAAAACTGATTTTACGGATATAGATCAAATCCTATCTCAACCCCTTTGGTTCAATCACCAATTCCAAAATAGTAATTTCATTATAAGACATTGGCATCTCAAAGGTATTCACTCTATAAGAAACTTGTGTAATGATCAAGGTATTTTGCCATTTAGTGAACTTAAGAAAACTTACAAAATTAAAGGCACAATTCTTGACTATTACCAGGTTCTTTCAAATATACCCCAAAAATGGAAAGAAACTATAAGAAAGAATTTATTGATTGTTCATTATCATTATCTTAACACATCACGGATAGATTTACTTTCAGCACCAAAGAGATCCAGATATTTCTATGATAAACTTATAACTACTGAAAACCTACCATCAACATGTGAAAAATGGCAAAATATCTTTGATATTGCAATTCCATGGCAAGATATTTTTAGAAAATATAGAAGATGTACAAAAGATACCAAATTGATTGACTTCCAGTTTAAATTTTTCCACAATATTGTCTACACAAAGAAAGAATTATTGAGAATGAAATTAGTAGATGATGAACTTTGCTCATTTTGTAATTTAATGTCAGAAAATTTGATACATGTTTATTGGGAATGTGAGTGTGTGAAAACGTTCTGGCTGAAAGTGAAAGAACATATTGAAGATAAATCATCAGAAAATTTTACCCTGACTAAATATGCAGTCTTAATTGGCGGATATAATAACGACCTTATGAATCACATACTTCTTGCCAGTAAAAAATATATCCATATATCAAGTATTAAAAAAAATAAGTTATCACTGGATACATTTGTAAAAATATTGAGTGATATCTTCAAGACAGAAAAGTTTATTGCCAGTAAGAATCAAAACATATTACAATTTGACTGAAAATGGTCATCTCTACTGCACACATTCCCAGCCTAATGAAGATCCCAATATCTGTAATGCCAATCCATATGAATTTCTGTTCTACGGTGTACAAATGTTGTTGCATCATGTACTTTATATACATGTATCAACTGATTTTGAATGAATAAAAAAAACAAAAGAAAAAAAACATATTTATCATTTGCATAAACCGCTTATCAGTGATGCCTGAGGAGAAAGGTGGAAATGGTATTTTCATGACTCATGAGTTTCCAAACGTGGTTGCACTATTTTTTGCGGATGATATTTCTGGTGTTAGTGATACTGCTGCTCAACTCCAAAGGAAGGTAAATGTTCTGGAAAGGTTCTGTGATGAGACAGGAATGAGGATAAACATAAGCAAAACTAAAATCATGGTGTTTCGTAGAGGTGGTCCCCTCAGATCGTATGAAAAATGGTACTATAAGGGCAACAAAATAGAGACTGTTAATAATTATAGATATCTTGGTGTTGTGTTTACTCCTACTCTATCGTGGACTAGGGCACAGAGTTGTTTAGCATCTCAGGAAAATAAAGCCTTAATGGCATTCTATGGTTACCAATATAAATATGTAACGTTATGGCATTGGGTGAATTTGGCAGAGTTCCCCTTCAGTATAATTACATGTTAAAATCAGTTAAATATTGGTGTAAGTTGATTATGATGGATAACAATAGAATGCCTTATCAAGCTTATTGTATGCTTAAGACACTTGATGGTGTAGGGAGAATTACATGGGCATCGCATATCAGAAATATTTTATTTCAATTTGGTTTTGGTATTCTATGGATAAGCCAAGACATAGGAAATGTAAAAATGTTCATCCCACTTTTTCAGCAGAGATTGTCTGATATGTTTGAACCTAGATTGGCATCATACTATTTCACTTATGAGCAAATGTCAGACAAACTGTCAATTTAAGACAATTTTGCAAGTTGAAAGATATCTGTCCTTAGACATTCCATGGTTTTACAAACATGTTTTAAGCCAGTTCAGATGTAATAACTTCAAACTTGCCATTGAAACAGGGAGGCATAATAATACACTGTACTGTAATAGAATTTGTTTATATTGTCAAAGCAAAGGCATGTCATTAGTTGAAGATGAATACCACCTATTGATGGTTTGTCAACGCTATAAAGATGCAAGAATTTAATGTTTCCACCATACCTATATTAGAAACCCTGATAGGGAAAGTTTTGCAGGACTTATGTCATGTAAGGATGAAAATGTTTTGACAAGTATTGCTAAGTTTCTGATGAAGGCTCGTAAAATTAGAAATGCATAAATCTCAGTCAATATTCTACACATTAAGATCTATATGTTATTTCTTAGATATGTTATGCCTATACACTGTGCAAATATGTCAGACACTTTATCAAGTAAATTACAACATACTGTCACTTTATGACACTTGTGCAAATTGAAAGATATCTTTCCTTAGATATATTCTACAGTATTATAAACATGTTTTAAGCCAGTCCAGATTTAATAGCTTCCAGCCCCCAACTGTTACAGGGAGGCATAATACACTGTACTGTAATAGACTGTTTATATTGCTATACCAGTAGTTGAAGATGAATACCATTTAAACTGTCAATGTTTAAAAAATGCATAAGATAGAATGTTTTCCACCTTACCTATATATTGGTAACCCGTGTAAAGATAGTCTTGTTAGACTTGTGTCATCTAAGGATGATGTTTTGATAAGTGTTGCTACTTTTTCTTTAGAAGGGTATATTATGCCTGTACATTGTGCAAAAATGTTTTCATAGCTTTCAGAGGCAATAATGTATGACTATTACTGATTTTACTGGTTTTGCCAGTTGAAGATGAATACCACCTATTGATGGTTTGTCAACGCTATAAAGATGCAAGAATTGAATGTTTCCACCATACCTATATTAGAAACCCTGATAGGGAAAGTTTTGCAAGACTTATGTCATGTAAGGATGAAAATGTTTTGACAAGTATTGCTAAGTTTCTGATGAAGGCTCGTAAAATTAGAAATGCATAAATCTCAGTCAATATTCTACACATTAAGATCTATATGTTATTTCTTAGATATGTTATGCCTATACACTATGCAAATATGTCAGACACTTTATAAAGCAAACTACAACATACTGTCACTTCATGACACTTGTGTCAATTGAAAGATATATTCTACAGTATTATAAACATGTTTTAAGCCAGTCCAGATATAATAGCTTCCAACCCCCAACTGTAACAGGGAGGCATAATACACTGTACTGTAATAGACTCTGTTTATATTGCTATACCAGTAGTTGAAGATGAATACCATTTAAATTGTCAATGTTTAAAAATGCATAAGATAGAATGTTTTCCCCTTACCTATATATTGGTAACCCGTGTAAAGATAGTCTTGTTAGACTTGTGTCATCTAAGGATGATGTTTTGATAAGTATTGCTACTTTTTCTTTAGTAGGGTATATTATGCCTGTATATTGTACACAAATGTTTTCACAGCTTTCAGAGACAATAATGTATGACCATTACTGGTTTTACCAGCATCAAACCAAATGTAAAAATATTCTGTAATGTGGGCCATTGCCTTGTATACTGAAAAATAAATCTGTCTGTCTGTCTGTCTGTAAATATGTCACATGCAAGATACATTATGTATATCAACAATAAGAACTCTAACAGATCAAAAGATTCGTGAAATAGTTCAGTCTATACACTCATGAGTCAGGGATCCTTGGGAAAAAGGATAAATTGAAAGAAGTAGTGGTAAAATCCTTCTTAAATTTCCAAAAATGTCCAAGCCTTGGAAACATCATCTTTCCAATTTTGGAAATTTTATGAAA